TGCCCATTAACAGTGGGTGGGTACACATTTTAGGTGGGTTGGTTGACCTAAATGAAAAGCACACATTAAGATATTTATACTCTTTAAGAGAAGCATGCAGGGAGAGCAAATTGGCTCAAGCAGGTAAGGGTGCTTGCCCCCAAGCCTGACAACTTGAGTTCAATCCCTGAAACCTAGAGGGTAGAAGGGGAGTGGTAGGACCCACTGCTACAAGTCATCTTCTGACCTTCACACAAGCTCCTATATATAGAAGAAGTAAACAAACACAAAAGGGCGAGTGTGCAGAGTGCTCTTCCAACACTTTCCAGGAAGAGCTTGCTTGTCTTGGGGAAAGTGTGTGTCTCTTGTTGGGAGGAATGGAAATTGGGGAAGACTTCACTGAGGAAAAAGAAGGCAGACAAGGGAGGGCATTCAGGACAGAGAGAATAGCATGGAAAGACAAGGAAGACCAGAAATTTTGGTGGAAGCTGTCATGGAGACTCACTGAATTTGTTCAATAGTGTCCCAGTATTTGTAGCTGGGTCAGAACAGCTGCCCACAATGCATCTCTATGCCTCTCTCCTACTCAACCTATAAGGGTCTTCCAATCAAGAACTTTTGAGGTTTGCCCTGCCCTCTCAGGGACCTCAAGGTAAATCTGAGTAGGCAGCAAACATTCAGATGTAAACAACCTCATAGTTCCACACACCATGGTTATCAAACTCAGGTTTATCAAACACATGAGGAAAAGCTTCTGAGAGTTCCAAAATATGTTCATTCATTGCAAGGCTTCCTGGCGCTTTGCAACATTTCTCAATGGCAGCCTCTTTAAAGAGTCCCTTTTCTGTTGCACAGTGAAAGCTTCTATTTTGTATGAAAGACATGTGGTTCAACTCATTTTTCCTTTAAACTCAATTAGGCAAATTAAGAAAAAGGAGTCTGTAAATCTCTGCAATCCATTTCACCAAATACCTTTAAGAAAAATGTGCAGTTTTCCAAAACCCTAAATAAGCAGGGTTTTTCCTTTCCTGCTAATAATGGAGAAATATCTTATTACTGTTCTATAAATAAAGTCAATTAGAAAAATGAATCCTAAATGATGCTAGGATTTCCAACAAAACCACAAAACAAACTCCGAGTTAAGGCAATAATGCATCCTGCTTGTACCTTGGCACATGAGCAAGCAAGTTTGCAGTGACCATCTGGGACATGTAATGTCCTAACAAGGGTGAGGGCATCACTTCGTAGAAAAGTCAAGCTGCAATGCATCTTTCTTCCAACTGTGATATACTGCATTCTGGGAGGTCTTTCTTTCTTTCTTTCTTTCTTTCTTTCTTTCTTTCTTTCTTTCTTTCTTTCTTTCTTTCTTCAGAAACCATTTTCACAAGGCACTGATGGCACCAACAGTATTACTCACTGCTACCCTGTGTCTAAAATAATGTCAGGCAAATAGTGAAGGCTTAATAAATAGTCATTGATTGAATAAATATTGAAAGTGCTGGCCATTTTCTATAGGAATAAAAAGTTCATGATGCTTTAGGATCCTTTTATCAAGATATTGAAGGAATGATTTATTTCCTTAAGAACATTTTCGATCTTGTGGGAGAAGAGATAGTTTATCAAATACTATTAAATTTACATGCACTAAAAGCACTTTCAAAATGCACATCAGTTATCACTACTGCTACTATTAAGGATGATGATAGCATTAATAATAATAATATGAAACATCAGATTAAAAGAGTTCATCAAAATATCTTGGTCTTCACATCAAAAGCACTATCAAGAGAAAAATAAATAAACAAGACCTCCCAAAAATGAAGGTCTTTGTGCTACAAAAGACACCATTAAGAAAGCTGAAAGACAAGACACGGAATGAGAGAAAATATTTGCAAATCATATATCTTATAAGGGGCATGAACCCAGTTTATATACCAAGAAAAATATACCACAATAAAAAAAAAAAAAGAGACAATCCAATTAAAAAGTGGTTAAGGAATCTGTATGGCTATTTCTCCAAAGAAGATATACAAATGGCCAATAAAAAAATAGGAAAAGATGTTGAGCATGATTTTGGTCATGAAAGAAATGCAAATCTAACCACAGCAAGATAGCACTGTGTGCTCACTGGGCTATCATCAGAAAGACTGATAATAATAAGGTCAGCGAGGATATGGGGAGATCATAGCTCTGCATTTCTGGTAAGCATGGGAAACAGGGCTTTGGAAGACAGTAAAAGAATATTTCAACATTTCACAGCTCCACCCCCAGGTACATACCCAAGAGAAATAAAGGTGCGTGTCCTCACAATAATATCTGCAGTGTTTACAACGGCATTACTCATGATAGTTAAAAGTAAAAACAGGCTGAACATGTTAGTTCACACCTGCAATCTTAGCACTTAAGAGGCAGAGGTAGACAGGAGATTACTCCAAGTTTAAGGCTAGCCTGGTCTAGATAATGAATTCTGGGGCTTACACAAGGCTATATAGTGAAATTTTGTCTCACAAACAAACAAACAAAAAATGAAAAAAACTAAAAAGTCCTCAAAGGATGAAAACACACACACACACACACACACACAGAGTGGTTCATCCATACAATAAATGTATTCATCATTAAAAATGGATGAACCTTGAAAATGTTATGCTAAGTAAAAGAAACCAGTCACAAAGGACCACACACTATATGAATCCATTCCCATGACATGCCTAGGGTAAGCAGATTAACAGTTGCCTAGGACTTGGGAGTAAGAAAGGCATGAGAGGGAAGAGACAAAAAAGGTGATGAAAATGTTCTAGAATTGATGATGGTGATAGTTTTTACAGGTCTGTGGATATACTAAAGCCCTTGAATTGTTCACTTCAGAAAGATAACTTGTATAATGTGTGAACTGTATCTCAATAAAACTGATAGATAGAAAAGTGTTAGTATTAATAGCAAGTTATTCTAGTTATTGTAATAGGATTCAAACATGGACATGGAACGTCTGTGTGGATCTATCTAGTCTTGTACAAACTCAGTCAACAACACAGTTAATAAATTGCTTGATATTATTGCATCTGAGTCTCAGCATGAATGTAACTTCAGAAAGACAAGTTGAATGGACTTAGAAAGATGGATAGATACAAGATTTCCATGCTTGTTCCATGTGATGATTTATGGCATGCAATTAAGTGCATTATGAGAAAAAATTTTATTAATATATTTTATGTATACTATGCAGTAGAAAATATATTACTAAATATAGTTTCATTCAACTATGAAAACATTGAAATTTGTCCTATATCTTATAACTGAGTAAAACTCCACTCCACTTGAAAAGTCATCTTTAATTAATCGAGTATATTAAAAATAATCCTGATGCTTCAATGTTCTTTGTAAAGATTATATATAGATAGATACATATATGTGTGTGTATATCCCAAAATAAGGATATATATTCCAATGCATATAACATTTCAATAGAATAAGCTTACTGATATTAAACTAAGTATTAATAAATAGATATTATATGAATTCAAAATTGAAAGAAATGGTCAAGATTCCTACTTTAACTGTACCTTTTACACATTAAGAAAATGGGACCCAAAGTGATTTTTGCACAAAATCTTAATTGAGGAACCCATGATGTACAACAAACTTCTCTAATTGCCAAGACAATTATATTTTTACTCTGCCAAAAATCTCAAAAATAACAATTTACCTGAAAATCTACCAGCATATAGAGAAATATCAAGCTTAACATTTGTCAGATTTCTATACTTTATTGGTATTTATCCACTTCTATCACCAATAATGTTGATTTTAACATGTCATATTGATGGGCATCAACTTAAATGCTCATTAACTCTGTTCCTAGTTTATCATTTATTTTCAGAAAAGATGATGAGATTAAAATACAATATGGTGATAATTTAATTAAAAAATACAGTTGCCAATGCAAAGTGTGGGAAATCCTTCATGTAGATGAGCCAGCAAGTTTTTATGAGGAAACTCACACTGAAATAAAGCAGTCTTTACAAACTTTTAGCTAAACCATAGTGTAGCATTCAGCACCCCTGCCATGACTCCCCAGTCTCATGGAATGGTTCCCTTAATAGTCCCTTAAAAAGTGGGTAAGGAATCTGTATGGCTATTTCTCCAAAGAAGATACACAAATGGCCAATAAAAAGACTTCAGGAGAATCTGTGATTTCACTAAGGATCTTTTTTTTAAGGATCTCTTTTTGTACCTTCTCCTCCCCTCAAATCTTCCCGGAAGGGACCTACTGCAAAAATTACTCTTTCTCTTTCTCCTAATCATATGTCCGGTTATCTCCCAAAGCTTCTGTTTATTATACAATAAAACCTCAGCTACTAATAAGATTACACTTGCATGGGGCAATGAAGACCTACTTGCATTTTAAATGGTTTCTTTATCTCTCACAATTTCATGAACTGACCTAAAGAGTGAGCCCTTCCTTCTATAGGCCACACTGTGCCTCCTCCGGGAGGTACGAAGGTCTCCTGACCCTCTACATTCCAGAAATCAGGGGTCAGCAACAGTGTGCCCCACTTGTGAAAAGCTGTTGACCTCTGGGAGAGGGCTTGTATGGAGGCAAGTATTAATTTTCAGAATGTGACTGGTCTTGATAACAACACACTCTTCCCATCTCCATGTGCCCTGGAATGTTTTCCAGTCAAGAGGCCTAGAAGTAATCTGTCATCACTGGTTAGCGGCTCAAGTATCTCATTCCTACATCCTTGCCTTTCTCTCCAGACCTGAACAAAGCATGCTGTTCTACCTTCTCTCTCACATCCAAACTGTCATGTGTTCAACATTTGTCAGGGCCTTTACCTTCAATGACATGGTCCCCACACCCAGAAATGATATTGAACACATGAAAAATGAACATCAGGCCCATTTCCCCCAGCTCTGTAGCTGAGAGCTACAGAATCTGTGCCTAGGGTATGCATGGGTGTCTTCATTCTTAGAAAAGTATTTATAAGCAATTAAAATGACTACCCTCCAAAACCATAAAAGGATTTAATAATGTACTTTAATATAATTTCTTAAGCACTTCTTAATAAAATACAGATCGATAATTATAATTATCAATGCATGGAGGTCATTTAGTACAACAATAAAAGGTTAGTCTTTGAGTAATATAGTGATTATTATTTACAGCAAAACCTGAAACAGCATTTGTACAATATTGCTAAATTTTACCAAAACAATTTAAAAAAAATGTCTACTCACATCATGGTGTCATCTCAAATTACCAACAGCAAAAAGGAAAATGCTCCACTTGGTGTTTTCTCAAAATGGAAGACTATTCTCCTTGAATTATAATAAGCGCAAAGGCTGGAGGACTCATTCTCAACATTTTTTCCCAAATCTCTGTCAAGTTAATAAGACCATGCATAAAACCTTAGCTACAGCTACCTATTGCAAATATTTCACGTCTCTTTACGCTAATCTTAGATTTTAAAATTTTTGTTAATTTGATGACCTTCTTACAGAATCCATGGGGAAATTTGTCAGTATCTATAAACAGAGACAAAGCCAGAATGTGTTCTGTCTAAACATAACATTCCCCTTAATATCTAACAATAATCCTGTTCAGTAAAGAAGTAAACTGGGATATAGACTCCTTCCCCATCCAAATTAGGGACATGTTAGAGCAAGTCTATGGATAAACACAAGGAAAGCATTCTCTTCATTTGTTATACACAAATGTAAGGAGCCGCTGGGCAGACGCATCCCTTGAGTTTCTCAACAGAAGGAGCTGTGCACCCTCCTGCATGCCTCACTTTTTCTGCCTGTCTCAGGATCTACTATCAAAATTCCTTATTTTGAACTCAAGTCATGTGTTCATTTTAGGCACTTTTAGAAGTCAGTCCTGTTTTCCTTTCTTCAGTTCCAAAGTTAAAATGCTGTTGAGGTTAAAAGTTTTATAGCTCACTTATCATAATGAGTATCTTCCTCCTTGGTCCTCCTAGGAGGCCTTTCTAGTAATGGACTTTGGCCTTTGACTACACCACAAGACAGATTGCTGGAGATAACCCTCTGAAATTCCTTGCAGCATTAGCACCATAAAGGCAAGACCTGTCTGTTTTGGAAAAGAGTCAGACAGGGAGATAAGGCTAGGGAGGGGGAACTGTTCAATTTGTAAGAGTTATGAGACATAAATAAGTGGCATAAATGCCTTTTCCTTACTCATAGACCAGGGGTCAGGCAGCTCAAAGATGGAGAAATAATCCTAAATCTAAAAAACAAGCCACACAAAAGCCTAGGGGCTGGATGACATTATTCCTCTAATTAAAAATAAATAAATAAACATTACTCATTGGAACAAAAGAATCTGAGGTGGATTTCTTTTCTTTTTTGCAATTTCTCATACCATATACTCCAACCCCTTCCTTGGTGAAAATTGAAGTTTGAAATGTTTGCAGGACATTTTTAATGGCCTTTTTGATAAACTAAATGAAATGGGAACCAATTTAAAAATAGTAGATATGTATTTTTTGCAGGCTAGTAAGATTCTCCGTCCAATGGAAAGTGAAGTCACAAGAGTCTCCTCCACCTTCCTTCAGAAAATAAACACCAGTCAAGCTATGGATTTTCAGATCCAAGGTCTGCAGTAAATAAGAATAAGCAGGAATGAAAAAGCTAAGCCTTTATTGTTACAGATACCTCAGAAATACACTAAGAATTAACTGGCTTTTGCACTGGAGGGTCTCACATCCTGTCCAAGAACAATAGAAATGATAATGCTACCAACACTCAAATACAAACTGCTCAGAGCACTCTTCTGATAAATGAAGTTACAAATCTTTGGTTAGGTATGCGTGAAACCGCGGTAATGAACCCCATCACTTTGCACGGAGCACTAGAAAAGTCTTTGGTTAGTATCATTACCAACTTTCAAGTGTACCGTTTTGCTTTTAGAGTCTGGCTACTCTGGATAAACACAGTACATGTAGTCAATATTCTGTGACACTGGATAAACATGGCAGTGAGAAGCCTTCAGGATACTACATGCTACCAATATACAACATACGCATATGCCATAGATAATTACAGTCTTGCCAGGAGAAAGTAAAACTCGTCAGAGCCTTCATTTTCTACTATATGTACATTTTTTTCCATATTGCCTTTTCCAAAAATAAGGAAGATCCATTAGATTCAAACGAAGTTTAACTTAAAGGCTTCATCAGACCATATGTGCAGACACTTGAGAAGATGACAGAGTTAAGCTTCCTAGGGTCCTGGAGTCAAAGAAACTCTGCTGGCCCCCACTGCTAATCAGGTGCACTCCTTCCACAGGGGGTAACATCTGCCGATCAGTCATGGTCCCACTTGGTGAGGACCCCAAGAAACTTCCTTGGGAAGAAACAATTTTCTCAGGACTGGCAGCCAGTTTGGGGGATGTGGAGAAGTTATATCCATACAAGGCACAGGGACTGTGTAACCGGAAAGTGTTGTAGGAACCCTGATGGGTCTGGTTAGTCGCAAAGGCGTTGCTGGATGGTGATGGCATGATGTACTGGAGTTGAGGGGACATTCCTGAAATCTGCATGGACAGGCTGGTCTGTGGGCAGCTGAAGGTATCCCCATCGGTGCCACCCATGGACATGTTCACAGATGGGCTACTGCCCATACCCACATAGGAGGGAGTCCTGGGTGGGGCAAAGGTCTCGCTGCTCTGGTTGGTAAGCCTGTTGTAGGTCTCTGCCAAGGACGTGCTGTAGCGGTTGAGGGTGAGGCCTGAACGGGCACAGGCAGAATAGTCAGCTGGAGCCAGACTGCAGAGCTGGCTGGTGTTCGGCCCCAGATGGAAGGCAGGAGAGGAACACGAGGAGCCAGACAACAGATGAGGGTGTGTGGCAGGAACACCATTCCCAGTACCTTGGAGGAGAGTGGAAGAACTTGTGTTTCCTACAAAAGAAGTTGCAATGTAAAGAATGACTTCAACTGCCATCTTTTCCTTTACATTTTGGTAAGCATATGATACCTCAGGCTTGTTTTAAGTGGGGGGATTACAAAGGTAAGAGGTGGCTTAGCTTTCAAAGAATTCATTTCATTGAACTTGGATTGAGTAACTTAAGCATACGTTCTCTCAATATTTTTAAACCAAGAGCAGGTAAAATGGCTCCAATGGTAATAATAACTACAAGGAGGCCTGACAACCTAAGTTCAATTCCTGGGACCCACAAAGTAGAAGGAGAAAATGAACTCCCAAAAGTTATCTTCTGATCTCTACACATGTGCTATCACACATGCATGCACATACACACACACAGAGACACACACACAGACACACACATACAGACACACACACACACAGTAATTACTTAATTAAATGTGATGAAACTTTAGAGGAATGTTTTTAGGACTAATTATCATTCCAGGTAATGACGAATTTTTGTAATACAGAAAATAGTAAGGCACTATCACATGGAATTTTCATGTTCTATCTCAATTTGCTTTTTTGGAATTTTCTTATTTGCAAAAACAAATACTACAAATGCCAAACTTACCAGAAATTTTATAAAATTAAATTTCATTTCATTTTTACCTCTTGCCCCAACAGTTTAATAAACTGCTCTTTTCTACCTATGGTATTCCCTTTCTCCCCACAGTCTTTTCTGGACCAGTACACTTCCTTACAGAGGAAAAGAAGTGACTGGAAGGAAAGCACAGAAGGGGTCGGGAATGCCACACCTCATCTTCATCTGTCACCTCTCACCGAAGCTTGTGTGCATCGATACCTATACCACTCAGGTTTCTGCTATGCTATCACTTTGTCCCTCAAAAATCTCAACTCCAGCTAGAAAACAGGTTGGCAAATCACAGGCAAGACAAAAGCAAAGGTCTAAGAAATAAACAGTCCTGTGACACTCAAAGAGGGTGGTTTAATCTTGCAACCAATCAATAGCAATTCCCTTCTATTGGTCGCCAACTCCTTTCTCTGGATTTGCTGGCAGTTGATACTTGCAAACTTGACATAACTTAAGAAGAATGGAGAATTCCAAAGGGCTGTAGAGGGTGTAAAACCTTCATTATTCTAACAACAGTATTTCATTCCACTTCTTTAAATAATCTAAAAGCCCAAAACTACCAATAATAATAATCTAAACCTGAGTATGTGAAATTCTCACTGGGAGCTGGTAGGATCCTGGTAAAATCTGCCTAAATGGGTAACCTGACAGTCTATCTCCTAAGCAGACTAGTACAAAGATGGCACCCTTCTCTAAGGAGATACAAGTCCTGGGCTTGTGAGGAATGAGCTCAAAATGGTCTGATCCAGTGTGCCTGATCTCATCACAGATCCAATAAGAAAACCCTGCTGAGAGGCAATAGTTGGATAAGAGAAACAGGCATGGGCAACTTCTTGTAGAGTACATGGACTCCAACATCTCAATGACAGATGTCAGGAAGAGGTAAGCATTATGAAATAAACACCAAAAACATGCAATATTTAACCTCTCACACCACAGGACAGCCATCTTTCCTGATCTGTCTCCTGTCAATGCAGAAAAGAAATGGATCCTGGAGTAGGAGGATGTTGATGAAAAAGTCAAATGTCATGGATCTAATTAACAAAGTGTGCATCTCTTACACCTCAGCCTTTTCTCAGGAACTGGCTGTATGCATGACCAGGAGACTGAATTACCTTGCTTTGGAATTCCAGGGATATCTTCAAATGTGAGAGTTCGTAGTGATGGTCTCCAGAATGCATATGACTCCACCAGGGCTTCCAATCCCATTCTACATGGAAAGGTCAAGACAAACAGAGTCTAGTTAGGAAGGGTTGTAGTTTTCACTAGTAATAAGCATTTGAAGAAACAACATGGTATTGGCAATGCCCTACACATTCTACACTCAGTGACCGGTTAGGAGATTGCCACAAGCAAAAAGAAATGCTTTGCACAGGGACGTAGGGACGAAAATGGAAACCTACCAAGATGCCTGCGGACATTCTCAGGACCCTAAAACTAACACATGGACCTGAGGATCTGAGTCCATCTTGGATACTGTGAGCCCAAGGCTCTGTAGTGCTCTGGAGCCTCTCTTCCTGTCACAGGAGTTTGCCCTCCGATGATGAAGAAGATAGCTACAAAAACATCTTTATGTCAAGTTCTCTTTTCTAAGGGACATTTCTGCCCATCATTCAGTAGTACCTCAGAAGCTAGCTCAAAGGAAGAACCAGTCAAAGAAAACCAACTTCTGTTCTGGGGCACAATCTCCACTATCAACCAGGCTAGGCCAGGAGGGGGCAGCACTGACCTCCCACTAAGCTTTGCACAGTGTGCAGAAAGGTAGGAGGTGATTTCCAGAGCTACCTAGTCTCTATACAGAGTTAGTAGCAACACTGTAAGTCATTATAAAGCCTCACCATGCACACTTAATGAATTGATGTGCAAACTTGGTTGCAGACTATTTATATCTCATCTGTATATTTCAAAACAAAAGCAACTACTCTAAACACAAACATAAAAGACTTCCTACCATAAGTGATTCTGTCTTCCTTCCCTCTTATATGTGGTGGCTAAAGAATACAACCCAGGATCTGGGGTTGAGCCTTTTCCTCAATTAGCCATTCTCAAGACAGCCTGGGGCCTCACTACTCATCTTCAACCACTTCAACCCTAAGCAATTTGTTAGAAAGATAACATGGTCCGGGCCAGGGTGCGTCTCAGAAGTTTACCACTTATCTAGTGTCTTAGTCAGGGTTTCTACTGTTGTAATGAAACACCGTGACCAAAAATCAAGGTGGGTAAGAAAGGGTTACACTTCAACATTGCTGTTCATCACTCAAGGAAGTCAAGACAGGAACTCAAACAGGGCAGCATCCCGGGAGACAGGAGCTGATGCAGAGGCTATGGAGGGATACTGCTTACTGGCTAGCTTCCCCCAGCTTGCTCAGCCTGCTTTCTTATAGAACCCAGGATCAGCAGCCCAGGGATGGCACCACTCACCATGGGCTGGGCCCTCCCTCATTGATCACTAATGGAGAAAATGCCTCACAGCTGGATCTAATGGAGATATTGCCTCAACTGAAGCTTCCTCCTCTCTGATGACTTCAGCTTCTTTCAAATTGACACACAAAACCAGCCAGTATATCTAGTATGCACAAAGCCCTGGGTTCATCCTCAGCACTACAGGAACGGAAAAATCTTCTTCTGGGTAAAACACTACCTGGAAATTTCTTGTGACTGTTACATTTCTACTAATTTTAACTCAGCTGCTGCTTCCTTGTACCCTCAAACCATGAACTAAGAACTAAGGCTAAAGAAAACCACCTGCCAGTCATATGACTTCTCCAACACAATGAAAGCTCCCAAAAGAGCAGATGATTTATGCAAGAAAAGCATCTCACATTGCCATCCTTCCGCAGCAAGATTTTACCCCTCCTGTTGCTGTGAGCTCGCATGGGGACCTTACTAACTTCTTTGGTCTCAGAGGAAGCATCACCAGCCCATACAGATGCTACATACAGATGCCACAGGGAAAACACCCCCAGCTGTTTCTCCTGGGCTATGTGGGTGGGAAGAATGGAGTCTGACCTCTGACATAGTCACTGTGTCACAGAAAGGACTGTTTGGGGTAAAGATACTAGCCTGGAACTAGAAGGACCAGTGACTGCAGGTCACTCTAAGTCACTTGACCTCCCTGGATTTCAGTTTCCTGAGAAGTGAAGACTGAACCATGAAGCTCTGAAGCCCTTTTATATCGAGCTATAACTCATTTCATTCTAACTGGTATTTATTTTACTTGACTTTTTGTAAATCAGACACTGTATCTGTGGCCAAACTATAAGTCAAATCCCCGAGGTCATACTACTCAATAGTATTTTCTATATGGTGAAATATTCCTTTTTGTGCAGTTTGTGGGCCGGGTCTGTCTCAATACTACATTACCTGTGGGTTCTATTTAATTCTGGATTAATGGACATTGGGTATTGCTTTGACGGTCTCTCTGTATTTAGCTTAAACCAATACTAAATCTTTACTACTTTCAAGAGAAAATAATTTTTTTGTTAAAGAATATTAGTACACACCTTTATTAAAAAAAAACAAACCATCTACTTTTTATTCTCATGCAGGTTAACATTGATAAAGGTAGTTTGGGATAGTGAAAATACCAATGTAATTATAAAACAGTTTTACTAAAGCCAGAAGTTTGTAGACTATATAGATGTGTTTTACTGCTTCATTTGTTTTAGCAATGTAAACTGAATTATGTTTCAAATCCATAAATCAAATTCGTAGGGAGAAGTTACTGAGCAGAGCAAATACATAACCTTAAAGTAATGGCTGGGAGGGGACACATCTCCTGCAAGCCTTCTGATTGGGAGCTATTGATATGTTGCCTGAGGCTGCCACTTCACACTGCCAAATCCACAAAGGATTGCAGATATTTTGCAGGAAACAGTTATAAAATATTTATTAGTTGAATCTGGACTTTTGTTAAAAAGCCTTCATTTTCTCCAGTAATGGAGACTTTTCCCATCTAGTTAAAGGAGAGATGAAAGGCCCCTCCTGCAGGAGAGTAGCCAAGGCGATAATTTATACAAGGTGCCTTTGAACAACCTCCACATTTACCAGCGCCCTCATTTATGCTATCAAATGGCTGAGTTTATTTAGTAAAATGGTTATGTTTTTCCTGAAGTATTTAAGAGAAGAAATTTCTGTACCTTCCTGAGTAAAAACTTTTATAGGGTCAAACCTAAGGCCTAGCTGTGGAATGGAGCTATTCTCAGCACATAAATTCACTCTCACATAGCAAATGCCTGAGGGAGGCTTCAAGGGCCAAAGCTACTGATTCCTGTAAAACAGGCTGCAGAGCCCTAAGTAGCCAGAGAAGGACACTTTTTAATTAAACAGAATTGTTTTTATAAAATTTAAGCAATCACATGTCTGTGTTAATTTTGTGGCCTGATCAACTTGTTTATTTCATATATGAGGAAAATAAAAATAAAAAAGCAGTAAAACTGCACAGCAGAACCAGGAAAAACAAAAGAATATTGTGGGCGTTTTTCATAGACTTTCCTCTATTACTATATGAAAAAATATGATGTCCCTCTATGCTGTCGAAGCCACCATACCTTCAACGAAGCCTCACATGGAACACAGGTTCTTTTCAATTTTTTTAAGGAATATAATACATAACTTTGAAATATTTTAAATTGACAGAATTTTTTCACACTGTTAAGGTCATTTTTTTTAAAATATGGAGCAATATTTCATGAGAAAAGATGAAAACTTTATTTCATTAACCAGAAAGCTCTAGAACAGTGAGTGGTTCTCAGCCTTCCTAATGCTGTATTCCTCGTGTTGTGGTGACCCCAACCATAAAATTATTTTCATCGCTACTTCATAACTATAATGTTGCTACTTTATGAATCATAATGTAAACATCTGTGTTTTTCCATGGTCTTAGGTAAGCCTTGTAAAAGGTCATTTAACCCTCAAAGGGGTCATGACCCACACGTTAAGAACCACTGCTTTATACAGACACAACATACTTCACCTGTAACAAGACAACCACTTGGAGCAAAATAAGAATTTTGAATTTTAACATAATTCAGAGTGTTAAAATATAATCCATTATTTCTGCGTGTTGATTTGAAACATTGCAGGTTTTACTGGGATCAAAAGAAATAATGCAAAGCACCGTTTGATGCCAAGCCTACATAGTTCCAAACAGCCAAAAGTGAAAGGAACCCCTGTCAAACCTAGCCTGAGGCCTCCAAACAGAACAACAGGCTTCCTGGTTTATTTTCACCATGACACTGAGTAGTTGGTTTGTTTGTTTGTTTGTTTGTTTTTTGAGACAGGGTTTCTCTGTGTAGTTTTGGTGCCTGTCCTGGATCTCGATCTATAGACGAGGCTGGCCTCAAACTCACAGAGATCTACCTGGCTCTGCCTCCCAACACTGAGTATTTTTAATGGTACAATTTTAATAACCAAATCTTTTCATTATGCTGGCTCATCTAGAATTCCTCCTCAAAATTTATTGTATGAAGCCGTCATCTAACTTCTAACAGATGCTTTACTTGTCATTACTTTTTGTCCAAAATATATTTTAAAACTATTCATAAGCCACTGCTTCATAAGTGAACTTCTCTCCAGTGTCAGTAGCAGTGAGATCTTTCCCAGACGGATCAGCAGCTTGGGCATGGTGTCTGGTATTCACTCTCAGGGCCTCCCTGTGGAGCTACTATAGGACTTTTAATACATTGTTTCTCTGCTTAAGAAAAAAAATTAAAGTCAATGCAAGACTCTGAAATGTTGTTCTGATGTAACCTAAGTTCACAAGAAGGGTTCACCCCAGCATTTGCCAAGGCAGAGAAAGAGTCACCTCACAGGTCCCCTTCTGCTGCAACATGCATCATTTTAGGGCTACTAAGCAGTAGTTTTTCACTCAATTTTCAAAAACATCCCTGCAAAGCAAGAAAACCAAGAACATAACAAAACAGCCACCAGGCACAAGTTTTCACCACAATGAAACAGATCCAAAAAGACATGAAGCCATTTCAATGCAGGAGATAAATTTGCTAATACCTGCAAACCTTCTCACAGAGTGGAGCACTTCAAAAGATTCCCTCCTATTGATCAATCTCGCTGATCCTCCTCCACTGATTGGAAGGTCACTCTAGTCTCACTGCATCTTAGTTGCCTTTTAGTACTTTCTAACTACATGTTGTTTAGGTAATGCCACTGTAAATGAGGATGACACCAAGTCTCTTTAGCAACTGAGCACATTTTGAGACTTGTCTGTCACCTATCTTGACCACGAAATCAGCTGAAAACACTAGAAAATCTAGACTACTACCTGACTGCTTTTCCTTCTCAAATTTCAAGTGAAACTGTTTCTTGATAATTGAGGGTTTTCAGTTCACGTAGACAAACCCAGTTAATATCAGTTTCAAAACAAAATAATTTTGGAAACGAAGTAATAAAGTTCAAATGCCTCTTAGTATAAAAATGTACTTAGAAGCATGCATATCAAAGCCTTGCCTGAAAGGGCAGAGAATGTTCCTCTATTATCACCCTCTGTTACTAGCAATTATTTTAGAAAATGTTGTAAACCCGGACTGTACTGGAATAGACTCGTATCAATAAATTTAGAGACTTGCAGCAAGCAGACTGGGTGAGTAACAGAGGGGACTTAATTGTTGTAGCTATCCCACTTAGTGCAGACACAGTGAAACATGACATAGAAAAAATAAACAAGTACGTGGCTGCCAGAAAGACCAAGACAAACTTGGAAACCGAAGAGGACCAGGACTCTTGGCAAAATGAAATGCTTTCATATTCCAGTTGAGAATCTGAGTTAATAAGAAACTATCCTACTCTTCAGACAGAATCAATAGACAGCGTGTCATCACTAAGAACTCTAAACCAAACAAAGAGGCACAAAGGACAATTCCTTGGACTATGAAGGCCCGCGGACCCTAAGGGTAGGCTTCTCCATGGCCCCTCCCAGAAATAACACACAATCTATATGCCAAGGGCTTGCATCTTCAGCCCAGCTTCACGCACTAAAGTTCATCTTAAGGCAGGCCACATGACTATACTCTATACGTAAGTTACCTCCAAGACACAATAATATCTACCAATTTAAATTCTCATCAGAAGTGCTTCCAACACTACGTTTACCAAGGTAAACATAATATAATGTTATAATGGAAAAAAAATCACATTAAAACTTTAAATATATTTACTAAAACAACCAGGAGATTTCACTAGTACTTGCCTGTTCCTCCCGGAGTCTCGGAAGCCTTTAGCAAATGGATTCCTGTCTATCTTAAGGCGAGTAATCTGCAGAGTAGAGAAGAAATCACATTAAATCTTATATAAACATCACAGAGTATTATTTAAAAGTTAAGATGTTTTTGGTTGTGAGCCTAGCATTTAACGGCTGAACTATCTCTCCACCCCCCCCCTTCAAAAAAAAAGTTAAGATAACTGTAGAACTACCAACAACCTAAAAATTAACATAGAGACAGAGGGTTCTTTTGTGTTCCTCTCGTATGTTTTAACATCCTGGCAGTGAAGTTAAAAGATTTAGAACAGCCATCTGCCGTGAAAGAGATACTTCTTCACCCATTTTCCACCTTAATAGGTGGGTAAAGGCTTGTTTTGTTTTGATTGTGCCTGGAGAAGGAACCCCAGCAGTCTCCTGCTGCCTTTTCCTATTTGACCATTCTCTCAAGCTGAAGTTCTTCCCTTTGACTCTAGGATATGGTTTAACCCTGATTATCTTGTAGTGCTGGGAATCGAGGCTCATCCAGCAGCCTGCATTTATTGACAATTTATAAGCTTGTTTCCGTTCTTAAGAATCGAGAATCCCCACACTCCCTAACCTTATTGCCACAGTATTTTTCTTTGTCTCTCCCTTGGCCTTTGCTTTATTCTTTCATCTCTTATCTCTATAGTACTAACTGGTCACCGAACTATAGTGAACATCTCAACAGAGATAGCTATGACTTAAAGTTTCTAACAGAACAAAATCATATTAAAGTGGCAGAAATAAATGCTAATTTAAAAATACTTAATTTTAAGTACTTTCAAGTTGTTGCCTCAAAACTGGCTTCTTATCCACTAAGATCTCAAAGTTTAGAAGAAAGGAGTTTACAAATATCTTCACCATCTCCATTAACTGTGGTTTGGACTCATGCCACCCCAAACTTGACATTTTAAGTAACACCCTTCTGTTTCTTAGTAGATCTGTCCTTTGCACAGAGGAATGCAGAGCCGATTCCTTGTATTTTGCTTTCTAAATTCCTGGTCTTAATGAAATCAATGAAGTTAAGGATCATGTTTGTGATTACATTAACCTGCTAAGAATGAGTTTGGCTGGATAGCATGGAAGGCCTCCCTGGAGTCTCTCTTGCTGGCCTGTGCATGCCCTCAGCCTCATCAGCCTTGAAATACTTCAGACACATGAGTTCCGTAAGATATTGTCTTGATATGTGGATATAACTACATTATAAAGAATGTTATGAAAATTTGCTCATTAATTCATCATATATGCCATTCTATCACTGAAGGGAATTTTCCATTATAGACTATACTAAAGTTCAACTCTGTTCATTTAAGTAATGTTTAAATACTTTAAACATTAAATAATTGAAATTTATTTAATACATTAAATAATTGAAATATTTCAGATGTTAGTTATGAGTATAGATCTGTATAATAGCACCTTTCTAAATAAAAATATAGCTCTATTATCATCAGAGTTATTCAACATAGATTATTTATGCCATACCAAGTTTTGCAGAAACTCCTCACTTGATTATTATAGCAACTTATACACAATTACCCCAGTTTTATATTTTCTTTTAAAGCAATACTTTAAAAGTTATGCAATGGTCCAGGAACCCAGGCTACAGAAATCACATTGATATTAATCAGAAGAGTCTTTATCAATTTCCTAAATTCTTAAAAATGATAGTTCTGAAAAATTAAAAACTGAATGTGGTAGCATTGTCTATTTCCAATCTAATTTGTTGACTCTTAACTGACTTGTTGGTATTTGTTAAGCAGCACCTGGCACCACAATGTGCTGTGTGTGTGTGTGTGTGTATGTGAGTATGTGTGGTGTGTGTGTGGTGTGTCTGCAATTGGCTAACCAATAAGAGGGCTTGACACTCACACTCTTGACTCATGTAAAAAAAAAAAACTTAAAGAAACAGCATTTGCCCATATAGAAAAGAAACATTTCATCTCTCAAATTATTTAAACCATTATAAAAGCATCACATTAAAATTGCCAATCTCTCAGACTATAATGCATATCAGTATCCTGCATAATAGTTTAAATCATAGTTCAATGATAAAGCCCTTTAAAAATATACAAAAGGAATGTACAGGATAAATCTTTCTGAAAATTTTCTTATAATTCATGGTCTGTAATATTAAACCCACATATCATGCTGTAAGGCACAACTAGCTTTTCATAGTTTACATGTCTGTTTTCTAGGCAAATAAGTTGCTTTCTAATTTTAATTACGACACTATAATTCAATATCTCAAGATGGAAAGTAAAACTATGCTGCTAATTGCAAGATGCATGCTCAGCTTAAGTCATCACTAGAGGAGCCTGCTTGGGAATTTATGGACTAGGAGTTGTCACTCTGTGCACACATGTACCCACTGTGGGTGTCATGCATAGCAAATGGTGTGTGGTAATTCCTGACATTTGGATATAGCAATACAGAGGGCAGGAGTCTAGCAAGAGGGCTGCTGAAAACGATACCTGCTGATTCTGATAGGCGGTGACGGTGGTGAAGACTGTTTCTGGGAAGGAGAATGCCTTCACACCCTCCCCGGAAGGAACAGGCTTGATGGGGGAAAGATCGTCCCCACAATCTTTACGGATGACGTGCACACGTGGTTGGTATTTGTGCATAGAATGAAGAATAATCTAGATCAAGGGGGAAAAGCCATATTAAACAGGAACCACTCCCAATTTGACAGCAAGAGCAAATTTGTAACGTGGAAAATAAATTCTTGCAGGAAAGTTACATTTCTGAAGACGCAGGAAGTTAATTTAACAAAATACAGCAAAGCTGCAGGGAAAGTCTAAGAAGACATCTGTAACGTTTGTATAAAACTACAAATCACTTTAATGAAACCCTCACTACAGCCATGTGAAGTCAACATCAAATTTCTATTGCTTAAAATACAATAATATATACATAAAGATTGTATTTATGTTGAACTTAATAAGACCAGAGTCAATACCAAATGAGATGGAAATGATCATGTGCACTGTACCAAATTCATCTTCTAAAGGACACACACAAGATTTTCAAACACCAAGAGAATTGTTCCTTCATGGGTGATAGTGCACACACATTAAGGACACCCCACTGTCTCCTGTGTTGATTCTGCAAAATCTCTGGTTTGTTGGAAGAGTATATTGCCCATATTCCCATTCAAATCTTAGGCTGGAGAGTGGAGAGCCTACCCTGCCCTAAGTCTCTCTCTCTCATGTGGTCTCCACAAACCCACTCAGATTTGTCCTAAGGTTCTGCTCCAGATTCGTAAAAGCTTTTCATATACAAAGGATCTCCGTGAGTTCGAGGCCAGCCTGGGCTACAGAGTGAGTTCCAGGAAAAGCTCCAAAGCTACACAGAGAAACCCTGTCTCAAAACAAACAAACAAACAAACAAAGATGTACATTGCATGAGCTATAACAGTGGAAGACTTTTACAAGTAGATTAGTAGTTACCAAGGGAAATTTACATTGTGAGGTGTGGTGTCACCAAGCTGTTGCCAACGCTGTTTAGGCAAATTTCAGTCATATAATAAAATTGCTTGGTTTTAATCTTTTTTTTTTTTTCTGGTTTTTCGAGATAGGGTTTCTCTGTGTAATAATAGCCCTAGATGTCGTGGAACTTGCTTTGTAGACCAGACTGACCTTGAACTCAGAGATCTGCCTGCCTCTACCTCCTGAGTGCTCAGATTAAAGGTGTGTACCACCATGTCCAGCTTTGTTTTTAATCTTAAAACGATAAAAAACGGTACCTAATTGTTTAGACACATTTTATGGCTTATTAAAACAGAGTATAGTGGGCTCATACAGAGATATGAACAGTGATCACCTCTGATGATGGTATCACAGGTAGGAGTGTGTGTGTGTGTGTGTGTGTGTGTGTGTGTGTGTGTGTGTGTGTGTGTGCCTTTTTATATTTTAATACTTGCATGAACAGCAGGGTTTTTTTATTTGTTTCTTGGATTCTATATTCAGATATTCATGAATTAGTTTAGCTAACAGGTATGCAATTTTTCTGAACTCTAAGCTTTAAATTCCAGGTTTGGGTTATTATGAATGTAGAAGGAAAACACCTAAACAAAAGTCCTTGGAAACATGGTGTCCAACATGCTTCATGTTGTTCAGAATGTAAGCAGTTTAATAAGCCAGCTTCAGAGCCTTTGGTCAGCTCCAACACCAACAGCTCTGTGCTCAGAGAATGTGTTTGCTGTCCTGAGAGCATGTCTTTGCCCTTGGGAGAGCCAACACTGCAGTCAGGGGCTCTGCTTTTGCTTTCCCCTAAGGTTTTCTTTGTGCCAATGGCAGACACACTTTGGAAACAGATCTAAAGATCCTGCCAACCAGACGTGCCTCTGAAGGAGGCAGCATGAACACAAGAGCATGCAAAAGGGTAAAAGGGGGAAGCAGTACTCATGGTGGGGGTGGAGGGAACATAGGCAGCAATCCAATGCCTCTTTCTAGGACTAATTTGAATGAATTTGAATGAACTATTAGCAGCTTTGACCAAAAAATGTTTAAATAAATAATATTATAAAATACAGTAGTAAACAGTGGGCTGCCTGTACCAGAGATATGTACTTTTTTTTTTTTCCAAAAGTTTTTGTTGGCTGTGAGTAGGTGTGCACAGGGCCATCATATGAAAGGTGTGCCTTGCTGTGAGTCAGGATAAATGTCTGGAAAATGCAGAAATAAAATTATACTCACAGGGTCTAACCATTAGCATAGTCTAATAAGCAGATTTTCAGTGGATGAGGAATGTCTTTTGCTCGTTCCCTTATTACTAGTTTATGGTCACTAATTCTGTTTTTAATAGATATCAAAATCTAAGTTTCTATCCTTAATGCAGTTTATATCCTTGCAGGGTTTGGTTTTGTTTTGCTTTTTTTTTCTGAGCTATGCTGGGGGTGTGGGGAGCAGGAGTGGCAGAGGGGCTGCGTTTTATTCTCTGACTTCCAGGTAGGAGCATAGTTGTTTAATGGTTAGGGCTCTGCATGACATTTCTAAACCTCGACTTATTTTTAATGGTAAGTTCCACAGAACCTAGAGACTTCCAAGTCCTCACAGCTCCCTAGGCCCAGGGCCAGTTTTGTTCCCCTTCTTGTCTGCATGCCTTCCTTATGAATTTACGCTACGTGGGCAGGCACAGTCCCGAGGCCAGGCCCCATACAGGAAACACAAGAATGGTTTTGAACCTGTGGCTGCAGCTTGTGTCTCAGCCCCCACCTGCAAACTAACTGTCCTGGCCCTTTTCCTATGATTTATTATTGAAATAGCACACTCTTTTCAATGTTAACACAAAGTAGTAAACAACCACTTTTTAAAGTAATAACTTTAATGTCCATTCAACTTTGCGCTCCTTTGTTTAACTAACTTTCTCTTTAGAAAACTGGCTTGCAATAGATCTCTTTGGGGGTTGAAAAGTTTGAGGGTGAATGTTTCCCCAAGCTAGGAATCAAAATGTCAGTGGCTAACAAATGGCAGCATCTAGAAACCCCAAGCGAGACTCACCATCCCTTTAGAAGTGATTTCCAGAGAAGAAGAAAAAAATCAAAGACAAAAAATTCCACACAAAGAAGCAAAAGGTGCACAGCCAACTTCAGAGCATCGGGACGAAGTGACTTGGAATGGAGGTAATAAAAGTTTCTTTTCTGTTTCCGTTCTTGTTTTATGAAGACTGTTCTCTGACCACCTGAGCTTCCATCTCTGGACCCCACATGGTGGAAAGAGAGAACTGACTTTTGCAAGGTGTACTCTGACCTCTGAACTTGCGCAGTGGAATGCAGGAATGCACAACCTCAACACCCACTAAATAAACAGACATAATAAACTTCCCCATTTATAATAATAGGAAATCAACAATATTTTGCTTACTTTGTAGGGTATGTGGGACTATTGACCTTTAAAAAAGAGAGACCATACTTATAACTCAAATAATCATATCTTATGTGTACTTTCTATACTGTTTGTTCTGTTTAGACAGGATTTGGGCAGGGGATTTCTAACTATAATATTAGAAAAAGGCATACAGACCTATGTCCACAAACACAGAGTGCTTTCTTATTCATAGGCTTATACATGCTTTTCTACTTTAAAGACTAGATTGGAGGGGTTTGGATGTGGCTCAATAGTAAAGCGCTTGCCCTGGACTTAATCTCTAACACTGATAACGAATTAATTCCTCATAAAATAGATTTACACCGAAAGAAGCATACTTATTTATCTGACCAGTCAATTGTGCTTGAAATCTGACAGGTAGGGCTTCCAGTTTTACAGCTTGACAGTGGAACTTGTCAATAACTGAAACTTTTCTACATGATACACTCGCAAGGTCGGAGTAGGTTTGTACCTAGTCTTACTATAACTTGATACGCTGTGTTGGATTGGAGTCCCTGGGAGACTCGCCCTTTCCTGAAGAGAAAGGGAAAAGGGTGGCTCTTGGGGGTGGGGAGCTAGCAGGAGAGGAGGCAGGGGAAGCTGTGGTCAGGATGTAATATATGAGAGAAGAATAAATTTAAAAAAAAAAATGAATTAGGCCAAGCAAAGGACCTAAAAGGACCAGATAATACCACCACCCAACCGCACCCCCACTTCCTGAATGTGTTAAAACACTATGCCTCACGTTAAAGTGTTGAAACGTTCTCAGTCAATCACAGGCAAAGCAGAATTTTTCCTTTTTGCTCTTTCGTTTCAGGCCCTCCTCAAATGCATACTTTCAAGTTTGCCGGCTTCTTTGGGTCTCTAATTCCAGTATGACCCATGAGGAAACAAGGCCTCAGAGAGTGGAACTGACTTGCCCAGGATCACTGGCATGGTGTCCTCAACCATTCCAACTTCCTTCCCCACAAGAGAGCTCAGCTACCTCTCCTGCATCATCCTGCTTCCCTGTCTGATTTTTCAAGGAGAAACAGTAAGAGAGTATGGGCATGTGTGTCACAGAATTGCCAGCAGGGGAGAACATCCACTCCTACAAGCCCTTGACTATGGCTACTTGACCCGGCCCATTGCCAAAGCATCAGGTGACGTAGGTATGGGTCCTGTTGCAGTAAGGTACACCATCAAATGTCTTCCCCTGTTCAGAGAGCTGTGCTCATGGAAATACTTTCCTCCAGAGAACAGACTCCAGGAAAACAAGGAAGCATGCATGTGGTAAGAAACTGTCACCCAAGCATAGGAACCTCCTACAACAAGGACAGCCCAAGAACCAGCCTTGGTGTGTACCAAAGCCAGAATAAAGCTGGTTAGAGTACCCACGGATCAAATAGGACCTACAAAGTTATCACAACATCCATGGATTAGCTGTGGCTCTGAGGGATACTGCCACTCTGAATCCTCCTTAATTTTCTTTTCTGAACCAGGTCTGGTGTTTGGGAGGCTGAAAAGTTACTTTGGGGAAAACACATACTCTTATGTGGTCGCAAGTCTAGTCACAGCCTTTGATTCCCACAATCACCTTACGCTAACTTAGTAAAACTCCCAGGGCCACAGAATTCTCACATCACAAAGCTGCATACATGTACATCTTTTGCACACTAAAATGGGGTGGGGCAGGGGGGCTGAGAGATTAAAACATAAGAAAGGAATTTAGGAAATTAACTATGGCGTGTACAGTTTTATTAGAGGTGACAATGACTTCTTTTAGAATTAGTGGAATGATGGAAAGCAAAAGGTTAAAAGGGCAAGAGTCCCTGAGGGTCTCTACTAAGGCCCCGCCATGACCGTACTGCCTTCTTAGACCTGGGTCACAAATGGCAGTAGAATTACAAGCACATTCCCAATCTCTAGTCTGCTTCTACTCATCAAATAGAGTGCACACAGAAACAGACTTTCGGTATTCTTCCCAGTCTCTCTGAGCTGGGATGAGGTATGTCTGTACCACTCTGAGCAGACAGAACAGCAAGCTGCAGGCTCCCTTCTCATTCCGTCTAGGCAAGAAACTCACAAAGCCAGTCTCGGCCTTCTTTGTCTTTGATCACACTTAACAGTCTCCAAGAACACATTTTTGAAATGAATAGCATGAAAGAGTACATCCCCCTACAAGCACTAACATTCACAAAGCAATGTCCTCACTTCTTGATTTCTCATAGTTTCCCAGTGCCCCCTGTGCACATTCTTTATATCTCTTGATTAAACTTAGTACATCCTGCCACAACCTTAAAAGAAAAATAGAATGTTTCCTTAATTTTGACTGTTCTCTGCCGCTTTTATACAAGTTCCTAATAGTGAGAGTCTTTATTTATGTCCAAGTAACTGAACTTCGATTTGAAACTTTTTTTTTATGTTTTAAACAAATACTGTGTGGTGGTTAATTTTATCTGCTAACTTGGCTACGGTAAGCATCCATATTTTTGGCCCAACAGCACCGAAGATATTGCTGTGAAAGTATGGCTTAGAGATAAACAATCAGTAGACTCAGGGAAAAGCAGATTAGTAGCAGTGAGTGGCCATCATCCAATCAGTTGAAGGCCACAAAAGAAAACAGAGTAAAGTCCTTGGAAGACAAGAAAATTCTGATAACAAACTATCTTCAGATTCAAGTCACAGCTTCAACTCTTCGTAGGTCTCCAAAACACGGAACTGGCCAACTCTTCCACAATCACATGAATCAATATTCATATTTATTCTCATTCTCATTCTCTCTCCCTCCCTCCCTCCCTCCCTCCTCTCTTTCTAGACTCTCTCCCACCTCTGCCTTTCTTCTGTCTGTCTCCTCTCTCTCACGTGCACATATATAACTATTTTCTCTGTATGTATTCACACATACACATGTATATATTATATTTTCTGGAGACTGTTCTTTTAGGTAAAAGCTGTTAAAATTGCAAATCTAAAATCATAGTTTGTTTTCTAAATCTATATATAAAATTTGGTTTAGATACCATATATAAAGCCAGTACTCTGAACTAAAAGAATTAGAATTATAAGATGATTATATTGACTTGAATTCTTTATCAGAATACAGTTTGAGGTACAATTACTTCTTTAAAATATATTCTTAAACTGTAGAACTCAAAAAGCAAGCAACACCAAATAGCATTCTGTCTAAATTTCCTAGTAAAAGGCAGAAACATAGACCCATCAGATAGGTGCGCTAACAATAGTTCAGTCAAACATAGGAGCCTGTTATTTTTTTTTAAACACTGAAACCAAGTGAACAATAATTGTTACAACTTGATTGTAGAATTGGAAAAATAAAAAAAAGGAATGTGAAGTCATATATGAAAAAATATGAAGACATAAAATGTCTTCTTTCTCTGATTCTGTTTTAAATCATAAAGGCGACCACAGAAGCATTGTCATGTGAAATCTTACTAGCTATGTGTTAAAATGTAGACACAGCATTGTCATAGGAAGGTTAGTACCCCAAAGTTTTCATCAAGGTGCTTCAGGTCCTATCTAGACACCTGCAAAGCACAGCACAAGCACTATATTAATGCTCATTACAGTTGGCAATTTTATGTTAAGTGACTTATTTATAAATAAGCTAGGTACTTTTTTTGTTTGGGAAATGAGGAAGTTGGTAAAGTCATTTCAATTCTTCTTCATCAAAACTCTACCTTACAGAAATGCTAGCTTTGAGCAGAAATAAGTATTACCCAGAGTTAGTGAGTTACTAAAACAATAATGTAGATTTCTGCCTCAAGTCAGCAAGCTGTTAACAATGCCTGTCTTTTTGGAACAGCCGGACTTGTCCCACATATCAGGTTTCAGCAGTTTTAGGAGGAAAGGGAATTATAATATACTTCGACACATTAGCTGTCATTACAAAACAATTGGGAACTTGCAGATGGAGCACACAAACAAGTAAGCTCGGGTCATTAATGCAGAGAGCCTCAGCTGGGAAAAGAGCTGGATACAGAGAGGACACAATAAATCATTCCTGTTACCAAACTTCCAAGCACATTTCAAGTATAATAATTAGCGCCTCGTGGGATTTCACATAAGTGTTTTGGTTAAAAAAAAATAAAAAGTCTCTGCCTTAGGTCCTTTCATTCCGATACAAAACCAGTATCTGGTTTAAATCTATTAAATGCTTTATGGGACAATACAGCTATAGATATGGTCTCTGATACAAATATAACCTTGATTTGGCACATACTGTTCACATACTGACCAAACAGAAAGGGGTATTACAATCTTAGCAGTTTTTAGCCAGGCACTGGGCTATGCCACCTGATGGTTCTTGCCAGAGAAGCTATCTACTTACATGGCCTTGATCATCCAGTTCATTGTTGGTAAGCTTCAGCTTGTCGAAGCTGATCACTTGTCGCATCCAAGTCTCCCCAGAGGCAGGTGAATCTGGATGAATATATACCCTGGGTGGCACAGGAGAATCGGCATTACCTGCCACCATCCATTTAGAGCTGTGGTAAACATACCTACAAGGCAAAGACAAAATTGTCAAAATGAGAACTACCCCATTTCTTGGAATTATCAACTCAGACCAAATGTGCACCGTTTTCTAAATATAAACTTATTTCTCTATACATCCAATTCTTTTGAGATTGTACTGTGGTGGCTATGGATAATCCAGAGCCAACATCGTTTTGATGGTTTAGTGAAAATATACAGGCTGTCTTCCCCATAAACACCAAGTATCCTGACTCTAATGCATTAACACTTACAAGAGACATAATTTATATTCTGATATTTTTCATCTGAATATTTAATTGACATTTAATTGTCAATCTCATCTCTGAGTAAATCTCAAAATACTTCAGTGTCTTATTTTAAAGGTTTCTACTTCCTGAAAGGTCACTCCCCTTTTTGGCTCTGTAGAGCCTGGTGGAGTAAACAATGGAGAGGTGAGAAGAAACTGTCACATTGTTTTGGGGGGTGAAGTTAATCATTTTAACATTTAGAACTGCTTTTCTCAATTCTTTAACATTATAAGTAGAGGATTAGATAATTCATGCTGATTTAAATTTTTTGAGGAATTATAAAATACAGGCTATCATTAAACTTTCGTGCTTCTCTTTTTTGATCATTCTAAGAAAATAATTTCAGTTAGCAAATACTAGTTTCCAACTACCAATATTGAACATACGAAGCACTTGATTAGTACTGCCAATTAATGTTATTTTCACAGCTAAGAACCACAATAGCTTACTCTGTTTTTTAATATACACAAATAAATTGACTTAGCAAGAAACACATTTAAATAGTAAAATTTCCAGGAGTAAATAAAATCTTAAAATTTAGGTGAAGATTCAGATTATTATCTGTCAGTGTGAATTTAAAAACTAGAAAGTAGTGTATCGATGAAATGATGAAGTGATATTATACACTTAGATACATTGCCTCCTGCTCATGTGTTAAGGTACTGCACACAATTTATAGTGATAAGGTTCAGGTAATGTCAGAAATACCCGTGTAGCAAACACACATCTTTTTAAAACAGCATGAAACACTTTCTTACATCTGTCTTTGGTAAAGCTCTTTGTCTCAACTATGGTTACACATTTCAGTGACCTCAATTTTAAGCACAATATCCCTTGCAGATTTTAATTCCTTTCCTTGAAGCAAAATATATAAGCATAGCATTTATATTAATTTTTAAAACCTTCCTTTTTGGTATTGTTATGGTGTGGTTTTAATAAATCAATTCCTATGAGCTTTAGTGATTAATAATTGTTCATAAGGTTTCTTAACATGGACCAAATACCATTCTTTGACACAGAATAAGTCAAAAAATAATTTCTGATACTGATGAAAAAAGTTGATAAATAAAATAGAAACCTTAGAGATGCATGGGGAAAAAAAACTGAACTTCAGGTAAGATTTGGGTTTCTACCAAAATAAATAAAAATGTTCTATCAAAATTATGCATATTAAATAGCTCAAAATCCAACACCTTCTAAGAGAATAAATTATACATATAAATATTCCTCACAAAGCATGCTAAATACCAAAGCTAAACATTTCTTAGGAAGCAATGGAAGAAAGCAAATTTGTCTTTCACAGTTTGATCTATTAAGATCTAAATTTCTGTTGCTTTCTGGGAGAACAAATTTGAATTGTGTAAAATAAAGAATCTTAAGTAAATGGGGAGAAATTGAAGGAAGAAACAGAAGAGAAACTTGAAAAAGACAGGAGTAACTTAGAAACTCACTAAGAATTACATTATCTTCCTCAGCACAAAACTCAAATTAGAATGTGGGTTTTAAATCATGTATATTCCATGAATAAACGTAGTATCTTCTACTTTCTGCTAGTCAGTAGATAGAGTGAGCAAAACTCCTAATGACTCATTTAATTAGCTAAATAATACAACTTAAATAGACAACACAAATGAAACTATTGTATTAAACACTTGTAGTATTTCCTATGCTCATATACAGATTTAAATCTGAATACTTTTGACATCACAAACTTCTTTTATCAAAACAAGCACCCATTTTCTTATAAAGTGATAAAACCAAATGATTTCATTTACACATATACTAAATGAGACAGAAATCTTCAAACAGAGATCCATCTTCTGCTCTTTCAAACTCTCAAACTTCCTTTTAAACAGATTAGCATTTTAAACTCTTCCAATAAACAAAAGGCATTGTCATTGAAAATCACTAATTCGATTTCTTGCATAAGTAAAAGCAAAGAGGTCGGAAACTAAAGAATTCATATCATTTCAGAGTTTACTTGATGCGCAGACAAATGTATTCTGTTTCAACATCCAAGAGTTATAGAAATTTCTAAAGAACTGTCAATTACCAACCTAAAAACGAGCCAGGGATAACAATTCATTACAAGTTTAGAGAATCATTTAAGTCACAACGAATTATGAGATTTTATTTTTCTAACTTGTAAACACTTTTTTTTCAAATGGAAGTCTAAAATATGTATAGTTTTTTTACTATAACAAGAAAATTAACATAAGATCAAAACATAGGAAAAAAGTATAACATTTACTATAATGTGTATCTGCAAACTTTTCATTGAACACTTCCTATCAAAACTCTAACTGAATCGCTAACCAACATTAAAGTATTATTTCACGTAGCAATGCCAGACTGGCCCCTGCTCAAAGTCTCAAAGATTGAAGACATCTCTTTACCTATGAAATGCAAAACAAACACGGAGTTTCCACCTACGCTAGAGGCGAAGTACCATTTGAGTTAGATCATTGAATCTGGAAACTCCACGGACTTTGGGAAACAAAGATCACAGAGGCATGGATGAGACAGGCACGAGCCTACAGAGTCCTGGAAATGCAATCGCTCCGCTTGCAGTCATGGGTCATCATCGTACCTGTATCTCTTGTTATCCACTGGGACAATATCCATGGCAATGTAGTATTGCTGGTGGGGGTCTAATCCGGAGATCTTCACTCGCATTGCTGGGAACATGCGCCTGTTTGTAATGGGAGGGAGGGAGGGGTAAACGGGGTTGGGTTTTGTTTTGCTTTGATTAAGAATAGAAACTGAATAAAGCCAAGAATCCTCCCATAATTTCCATTTTAATGTAGACAAATTTATAACGTACACTTAGATAACATAATTCGGGGTGTCAGAGCATAGGCTACATCAAAACTACAGCTATAAAAATGTAATTTGTTGCACCACGTGCACATATTCCGTGTTTATTCAAACATCAGTGTATCTTAAAAGTGAAAGGATTTTACCCGAAAGAAACTTTGCTTTTGAGGCAGAAGCAACAAGCCTGTTTATCTTACTACAAATAATGAAATACATCATTGATAGAAATTTCAAATTTCTGAAAGTGATAAAATATATTACAATGTGAAATTTTAAAGGGGGTTATAAAAAAGCCGCAAGGAGCCAATGTGCCATGCTATAACCAAACAATATGTTCTTTATTGAGACAGGACTTCCTGTCTGCAGCCTGGTAAGGTAAAGTGCAAAAGGCACTCTAAATTTGAAAGGTATAGTAAAACTTCTTTATTGGAAGCAGAAACTAAACACAACATATATTTACGAATTTCCTCCCCCCACCGTAACCCAAAAATGTTTTCTTTTCTAACCACAATTATTGCTAATTAAAGCAAACGAAAATTCCATTTTCTTTTGACGTCCTAGCTATGTGTATCAAAGGAGATGCTGAAGTAAATGCACATAATCCCTTTAAAAAGGGCATAGATGCAAGGAACACAGCAGCATATTATGTGCATTAAAAACAACATAAGTTTTGCCCTTAAAAAAAAAGAGAGACTTTCTTCTAATGATTTATGTCTAGGACCCTCCCACTAATCTCATTTTTGTTAATTTAACCTTATAACACAAATTTATCTACCATTTTTTTTTTACAACAGTGCTATTAAAGACCACTGCCAGACAAAGGAAAGTCCACGATTATTAACTAAGCATGAGAGCGGTTTAATATGCTGGCTGTTTCAGTGTTCTTTCAGTGCACCTGTAAGATAAAGAGGAGAGGTCTTTAACGACATCCTTTATAAGACAACTGTTGCTCTGTGTTGTTGAAGACCGTATTTGGATCATTAATAATAATAAAAAAAACTCCCTGAGAATGCAGAAGGTAGCATATGGATTCAATAAAATATGTTTTTGTTATTTCTAATAAGTTTGGATACTTTTATGCTACCCAGGTTTTTACCATGTGTACTCCCTGAAAGAGTTGTGTGTGCTTTTTAAAAAAAACTTTAAAAGGAACATATTATTCTTAGATTTCATTACACTAAATGCATAAATGAGCTGAAAACTTGAAAGCGCAAATTTCTCTCACCGACCTCAAATTAGTGTGATGTGTCCAACAAATCCATTTATTTGACTAACGAACGATGCACAAATTTCACAGTCTAAAAAATAACTTCTTTCCGAACGTTTTTGTATTCAGTTAATTAAAAGTAATGGGCTGGATTTCGTGTGTGTGTGTGTGTGTGTGTGTGTGTGTGTGTGTGTGTGTGTGTGTAGTGTGTGTGTGTCTACAGTTATAAAAAAATCCAAATAATGATTCTTATAGCAATACATGATTAAAACATGACCATAGTGACTTTCCATGGCTACCTAATATCAGAATAGCACAATACACAATTTGTGCTAGGAACAAATCTGGGAGTTTTGAATTTATATATATATATATATATCAGAGTATGCTAAAGAAAATAAGAGATAAAAATAACTAAAGCGAGAGGGGCCAATCTATTACCTAGCTCAGGACAGATAACTAGAGCCTTAAATGCACAGAAGAGGGTATACACGATCTCGGGTAACTAAACCGCACTTCCTCATTCAGAGCATTGGCAGTTAAGGCTGCAAAGTCCACACTGGCAAAGATCTCCCTGACATTAAGACTGGGCCCGGCTGCGCCCTTCATCAACAGCGCTTTGGCAAAGAAGCCAATAAAGGTTCCAAAAAGGGCCTACTGTCCCGGGTCCATTTGGATCGGTCACAGCTGTGGCCTGGCTAGGGGTAGGGTGAAGCCAGAATTCGCGAGCATCTCAGGGAGCTCAAGCTTACCTGCCGGCTTTGGTGATGATCATCTCCGTGCCTATTTCGTGAAAGCGCTTCCATAGCTCTGCTCCTTGCAGATCCACCCTCGGGGCCTGCGGCGTGGGCAGCGGAGTCCCCGTCCGGGCTAGGCCGGGTACCGGAGACCCCTTCGGGGAACCTCGAGGGGACGCCAGAGGGGAGGCGCCTTGCAGGAAGCCGTCCTCACAGCTGCCTGGACAGCAGAGGGCAGAGACGGGGAAGCAGTGAAGGAGAGAACCGGCCTTAGGGACCATCTCAGGGTCAGGCCCTAGGACTGCCGCCTCCAGTCCTGCCGCCTGGGCGCTCAGAGATGCCTTGAGGCCTGCGGGGTCCCGCTGAGTCCCCATCTCTAGGTCCGCGCGTCCTCCCCACGCGCTCGGCCTGTGCGTGGCCCTGGCTCGCGGGTGTAATACACACACACACACACACACACACACACACACACACACACACACACACACACACACACACGACACTGGGTCTGAGACCGGTCCCAGAGCTCAAAGTCCCGGGGCACAGATCCTGCTGCCACCTCCGTCAGGCTCCGGGAAGCCCGTGGCCTCCCTTCACCCCGGACAGCCTCTCTCAGGGCCCAGCCCGAGGCACCTTCAGTAAACATCTCCAGATCCCGCTCCCTTCAATCCTCCAGGCTCCCGGCCTCCCAGGCCCCGCGGCGTAGCGGCTACAAGAGGGCGAAAAGCCAGCCCTCGGGTGCCGTGAGCCCCGGTGGAGAAGCGCTTGGCATCCCAAGGAAAGAGCGTGGGCGAGCTCGCTGCAGCCTCCCGGGTTGGTACCGCCGGCTTCGGGGCGTCGGTTCCGATTTCAGTGCTACAGCCCGCGCCCTCCCGCACGCGCCCCGGGGTTCCTAAAACTTAGCCAGGCGACTGGCATCACCCTGGGCTGGAACCCCCGGCGCAGAGGCGAGGGGGCCGGCCTGGGAGCCCCGGTCGGACGGTGCGCGAGGCCGACAGGTCAGCGCCTGACACCCGGGACTCAGCGGCAGAGACCCGGGAGGGTCCCCGCACGAGCACGGCCTGGCCGAACGAAGCTCAGGTTCGCGGGACCCGGGCGGGGACGCTCCGGGAAGCCGCTGGGGCCGGAAGGGGCCGACTCACCCGCCGCTCCGCGGGAGCCACAGCTCCGCTCCACGTCCGTGCAGCTCCGCGCCGGCCCGGACGCCGCCCCGTTTGGCGGCGGCGGAAGAGCCGCGTCTTCGTCGGCCTCGGAGCAGCCCTGCTCGCCCGCGCCTCCGCCACGGCTGCAGCCAGCGTCGTCCCCCGCCCCGGCCGCCTCTTCCGTGGTCAGCTTTCTCCGCTTCTTTTGAAGCTGTTGCTGCTTCTCGGCGCCGATCAGCGCCTCCACCGAGAAGGCGTGCGCCTTGAGGCTTAGCATGCTGCACGGCGAGCCCCTCCGCTTCTCGGCCATCCCCGCCGCCCCGCGCCCGCCCGCCCCTCTCTCATATACCCGCGGCTGGGGCGCACGCACACGCTCGCCTTTCCTGGCCCCACCAAACGCTCCGCTGCTCCCGACGCCTCCCGAGATCCTGCCCCCTTCCCAGCTGCCGGCAAGAAAAAAAAAAAAAAGAAAGAAAGAAAAGAAAAGAAAAAAAAAAACCACAATTTTGCCGTTTCCTCTTTCTCTCTGGGCGTTGGGATCCGAGGAAGCAGGAACGCAGCAGCCAAGTTTCCTTCCCTCGGTCTCTGCCTAGAGCTCACTGATGCTCTTCTTTACTCCCAACCCCTCCACCTCCTCCTGCTGCACCAAGATCTACCTCGACTGATGCGCCAGAGAGGACTAACACGGGTAAAAAAACACTCTGCGGACACAAATTAGGGATTGTAATTGAAATTTGTTGCCTTGATCTGTCAGCACTTCCAGGCAGGAGAGCGGTGGGAAGAACTTGCTCATTAGTGTCAATAAAGCGGCGGGGGCGGAGCCTACGGAGCTGTCCATCAACAAGACGGCTAACCAATCAGGAGGCGCTGACTCCGCTCAGCCCGCGCCCACTTCCTTACAAGGTCGGAAAATCTCGGACAGAGAAGCGCCGCCATCTGGCTGGGGTGTGCCAACCTCGTGAAAGCTGGACACTCTTTCGCTCACGCCCACCAACCCAGTCCAGACCCTGACTCTCAGGCTTTTCTTATCAGGGCCAGGAAATACTGAGCCTTCAGGTTTAAACGAAGTTAGCATTATCAACGGTCTTTCAAGGAAACTTTAATCTGCGGTCCCACATCCCTATCGACGTGGCCACAAAGCACAACATTTGGAAGGGGCAAGAACTCACAGCCAACATGTTTGTCTTTTTTTCACTTAAAGATTCCCGCGTTTAGTAATGCCCACTCTGCGCAGAGCTTGGCCATGGGCTTAGATCTTACTCTATAGATTTTTCTTAGGTGAGATGAGTTTAAGCATATTTGATTTTTATATTTAAAGTAAATTATTGTATTATCTCTCAGTCCTTCATATAAACTAGCCAGGAAAAGCACCTCCTTTCTGGAGATTCCCTTTTATTTCGGAGTAATTATTTTAAGACGTAGGTCATGGGATTTTAATTCTGTATGTCTTTAATGATATGGGCTTAGCTTTAAAACGCCTTACAAAGTAAAACATGTTTTACGACGCACTTGTAGGTTTTTGTTTTTAAATCTGTAAGTTAAAGAACCTTCATATTCATACTAGTTTTTTTTTTAAGAAGTGGCGTGTTTCTTTAAAATAAATTTGAAGGAAAGCAGAACTTTCAAATTGAACGACAGCAAACACGCATTGCAGTTCTGTTGTTTAAACTCAACATTTTCTTAAGATTAACAGGCTATGCGTTTGATGTGAATAAAAAGATCTCTTGTAAAATGAAATTCACTGTGGTCACAAATATTTAGTATAAAACACGCTACGAACGACTACTTTTGTTTCAGTGTTCAGTCGAACACTACAACCCTAGACTTTCCTCTGGCTTCTCGTCAGCCTACAGGAGAGCGGCTTCTGAAAGTGGTGTCATCACCACTGGAACCAGTATTTTGTTTTTTAACCGTTGCTAGAGAAATCCGCAGTTCCTTCAGGGCCAGAATGCTGGGGAAAGCTGGAACCAAGCAGGAAGTGCCTAGAGGCGCGTGCAGGCCTGGGGGTAAGCCCGGCAACAACCTTCTGTCGCGAAGGACTTAGTACTATCCTTGCTGAGGATGTAGATTTTAAGTGTCTGAGAAAGACGTTCAATTGGAAGGCATTGTTTTTATTGGGGAGCGGGGGGAGTCTGTGTCACTGTCCGGAGATCCCCCAAACTCAGCAGTGTGCAGGACGATATTGTGTCGTAAAGAAGTTCAACCCCTGTTCGTGAAGTTTGGCCGAAAGCGGGAGCCCAGAAAAGAGCGTGAAGAGGCAGTCTGCAAAGTTTGGGCTGATCAGGGGCTGTGGGGTCTGGGATGAAGTGGGATTCAGAAGTCAATGGAGTTTACACCCGCAGCTCCCGACTGTGTGTAAAGCTAGGGCTGTGCCTGCGAAGCCTTCTTCAGTAGCCCGCTAGACCAGAGCGCAGGGCCCCAGGCCCTGGCCCTCACAGATCCTGCCGCGGAGCGATCCGAGGTGGCTCTCCAAGCCAGCCCCGCTCGCTCGCTCGCAGCCTAGGAGATTCATAAATTCTGTGACCCAGGGGTGAGTCACTAGAGGTTTCTGGCCTACTCCACCAGGCAGCAGGAGGAGGCGAAGAGGCTGGTTCCAAGAAACCTCTGGGATTTCTAGACCGGAAGCCTGCTTTGTGGTTATGATCTTGTCCTGTTAGATGTCGCGCAGTTCAAACTGGTTTGGGATGATTAAACGGGCCTTCAAGGGTGCCCCAAGGACCACAGGATCCCAGACCCTCCTCTGTTCCTCTGCCTCTTCTTGCGACCTTACCCCTGGCAGCTGGAGGCGCAGGCCACAAAATTTGGACTTAGGTTCACATAACAAATAAACTGGAAAGCCAGACCTTACGGACATCCGGAATAATACAATCTAATAACAAAAATAAAAGTAGCCCCTATGCGTACAAGTGTGCGCAGAGCGTTCAGGGTAGAATGGGGGCGCTAGCTCCCTTAGTCCTGGGCCAGGCTGGGCTTTGCGGGACGTAGCTATAGGGCCTCACAGTCACTGGCCTCCTCTGCCTGCTGGAATCGGGCTTCAGCTCTAGGACCAACTGCCAGAATTGGGCTCCGGGACCCAGGACAAGCTGGTTCCTCATTAGATTGCAAACTGTACACACAGAGTGCGACCCATACTCCCTGGAAGCTGGCCGAGAACCCCATCATGGGCTGGAGAGAGAAACTATACCCCAGTAGGTTGAGAATACAAAGAAAGGGGTTTCAGAGAAGCCTCCTCTCCCACGGCCTTTCTGCACCATGCCGTAGAAGTACACTAGGGAAGGTCCAAATCTTCCTGTAGGGAGAACCCCCCCTCCCAACCTCTGAATCCTGGGGTCTCACTTGCAAGGGTCTGTCCGTGCGCCTGTGTGTCACAGTTCGCGCGTGTGACCTTCCGTACACGTGCTGGTGTGTGCATGCACCTGAGCACCTGTAAACCTGGGAAAGATCTAAGTACCGGAAATGTGTGCTTATAAGGCGGGAGAGAAAATGTCTTCGCATTGTATTCCTTGCATTAAAGAAGGATTAGAACTGAGACAATTCTCACTCAGGCCTCTCCCAGCACCAGCCAGCCAGTATTTGAAATAAAAGCCACTCTAAGGATGGAATCAGCCTGAGCGAACTTGTAGCTGACAGAGAGGCAGAAAATCCTGGAGTGTCCAGATTTTGGGGGGCTCGGGGAGGGGGGAGAGACAATGATGCACACTGGAATCGGAGTCCCACAGGACAACCACGGTGTGTGTGTGGGGGGGGGGGGTTGACGCTGAAAGGAAGGGTAGACTTTTTAAAGGGGGTGTCTGCTCTCTGCCTGTCTTGATGCAGTTCTGAAACATTCTTTTTAAAAGAAAAATAAATGAAGAGAAACATTCTCCCTGTCTGCTTCCAGGACGCATGTTAGCCTGGAACTTGCTTGCACGACCGTGTGTGTGTGTGTGTGTGTGTGTGTGTGTGTGTGTGTGTGTGTGTGACTTGTGGTTTCATTTTACCTAATTTATACGACACTTTTTTTATATATATATTGATGATTTTCTAAAAGTAGGCCCACCTGTCCAGACTTCATTCTGCACTAGGGAGCCTTTTTTTTCCCTTTTACACTTCACAATCACTGTAAAATATTCCAACCTTTACTTTTGATTTCTTGGAGTAGAAACCTGATATACTGATACAGTGAAGTGAACAGTCAGCTGAACTCGGGGCATGTGATCCCTGGACCCTTCCTACACATTAAAAAAAAAAAAAAGATGCTTTAATATTGACTAAAAGATTGAAAACACAGAAACTGGCTAGAGTGTGGAGGGTGAACAATGGTAGACCACAAACACCAAGAGCGAACGTATTTGGTTGTTACTTCGTAACTGGATCGCAGAAGGAGATGCGAGATCTTAATTCCGGACAGTGTACGTCAACATCTCTCACAGTTACCCGGCTACAGCCGGCTCCGCTTCTTGCTCCCACCTCTCTTCATTCTGGGCACAGGCTTCCTTGCTTCTCTCGCTAACCTGGCTTAATGCAAACAAATCATAACCAAGGCTTCCTAAGCAAATCGGGGCTGGCTGGGCTGCAAGGCTGCGCTTCAAGAGACACCCTCCTAGCCTGCAGCTGCAAAGCCAGGGAGAGCAGAAAGCTGGGGTTCCTTTCAACTGGCTTCTGTTACTACTGACATAGAACCCGCACCAACTCCCCACACTTTATACACCTCCCCACCCCCATTTCTTCTATTGTCTCCTAACAATGGGTCTACTCTCAATCCCAATGAACTGAGAGTCCATCCTTTCAATGAACCCAAGAAACCCCTGCTCAGACAGCACAAGAACCCTGCAGGGCTCAGCCGTTCCCAGAGCCTCTTCTCAACACAGGCTTGCTTTCTCCCCCGTGCACCAGAGAGATATGGTTTCTGGGAGAGCCAAATGAAGTGTAGTCTGAGTGTAAGTCCATCTTCCTTCCTCACTCCCACAACCTGCGATATATAGCCAAAAGAAAACCCGGGGCCCTGGGTAAATAACTTTCCTATCTCATCTCATTCAAACTATTTCCACATTTATCTGCTCTGTCTCAGTCGGTAACTGAGGAAGGGGTCCCCCGTCCATCTCATTTATTGACTCACACTCCTCTCACAGTACTAAGAGATGTGAAATACACTGACTGTACCTTCTAATAACTGATCAAAAAAAAAAAAAAAAGATGGACTGAAGGAGGGCACGCAATTAACACCAGAGGATGAGAGGCTGGGCATTGCTAACACCAGTATAGCAATGGTTTGGGTCAAAGACAACGAAGGAACCTGAAAATTATAAATTATTCTCTAGTTACTGGGAAGTAGTCGATGCTATATAAAAAGTCTCAGTTGCATCATGTTTTTGATGAAACTTCATATTCTTTGAACTGATCCCATTTCTCCCTGTAAGCAAAGGCAACCAATCTTGTGGGTGTCAGTTTAACAAATGAGTGGAAAACGGGACAAAGCATAGGCCCGGTTTAAGAATCACTGTGTAGCACTTCCGGTTTATTTTGCTTGGAGATGAGAGGGTGAACCCAGGCTGGACTCTACACCTGATCCCAAGCGATCCTCCTGCCATATGCCCTCACCGGGGAACACAGGCTCCATCCACTATGCCAAGCTTTAAGTATTTGGCTTTCTATAAAAATTATTATATCCTCTACCTTACATTAGTAGATGCCCACTCTTCTTAAACAATAGAATTTCTGTGCACATCCATGTAATCTATTGAAATAACAACGAAAAAAGTGGATGGAATTTATTCATATTTCATACTA